ATACACTCATACATATATATGATGTGACCTCCATATATATTACAGATGACACTCATCATATACATATAGATGGTGATTCATATATATATATATATATATATATATATATGAGTGAAAGTACGTCTCTAAAATTGTTTTTTTTTTCGTCGTTTTTTCAGTCAAAGGCATCGTAACTCGAAAACTGACTGTATTCTAAGATATTATTCTTCATCAATAAAATTTAAGTTATACAAATTCTAAATGTATAAATAACATTTGTATTACCTAGTAGCACGAATCCTTTCATCCAATTGATCAACTGTTGGCTTAAGTAAACTCATTAAACCTTCAGTTAGTGCATCTCTGGTTGGATTTTCACAAAAATCGTCTATCTTATCGTCAATGGACGTGTTATCGCTTGCGGTGTCCACATCCATTGCTGGTGGTGTTGATTCTTCTGTCGACATAATTTTTCAAAAGCTGGAAATATTAAAATCAATTATAATTAAATTATCTTGTCGACATAATTTTTCAAAAGCTGAAAATATTAAAATCAATTATAATTAAACTATCTTCAACAATTTTTACTATCGAATATTATATTCTTACCATTCTACATGTGGCAACCATTTTATGAACAACTTTAATTTAACACAAGACATCTGATCTACGTCAAATCATGGGATCAAATAAACACCCTGGCCCATAGGAAGGTTTTATTTCAACATCTGGTGGCACCACTAGTGGCAGATTTTGGAATTGACATATTCGCCATTTTGAAACGTACAAAATTTTTAAAATTTTCTGACCAATAGAAACCTCGCATTTCGTCACCTAGTGGAAATTCTTGGAATTTAATAAGGATGCATAACGTTGTTGGATAAATTTCTGTTGAAAATGCGCAAGGATGCGCATCAATAAAATGTAGGCTTAATGATTAAATTGAATCTGTACAGTGCAGTTGTTGCGGTATGGCTGACATGGGCTTAAGTTTAGATGACATAATTAAAAAAACTAAACCATCAGGCATGAGAAATCGAACGGGGTAATAAATTAATCGAAAATCAATTATTAAACTCCAATTTTCGTGTTATATTAATTATCGATTAACTTTCTAACCTTAAATAAATGAATGATATCTTCGAAGAGGAAGAAAAAACGTTTTCCCCTGTCTCTACCATCAGTATATCATATTAAAAATTTTCATTGATTATAACAGATCTTACCAGTTAGATGACTAATCCAAAAGCTATACTATTTCAGAAATGAATAAAGAATTATTTGTTCATATTATTTATCAAATATAACATATATATCATATTCTTCAAAATGTTTTATTTATATATTTAATTAATCAATTTGAATTTTTGTAATGTGAAAAAAAATGATGTTAATTAAAACTATTTATTACAGAGCTCGTAGAGGCTTCAACAGAGGAGGTAGAGCGAATGGTTCTATAAGAGGAGGAGGTCGTGGTGGTGGAGGGCATACATTAACAGATGCACGATTTAAGATAATACAAAAGAATCGTGAAAAGCTTACCGATGCTAGAGACAAGCTTGCTGAGATTGCTAAACAAAGCGATGCAAGATTAAAATTAGACAAAATAAGAGCTTCGCAATTAAAAAGGATAGAAACTCAAGTCCCTGGAATATCGAGGAAAACTGGTAGAAATGGAAGGCTTTCCTTGTCAACTAACAAAATTCCACCTTTGATGCCACATGTAATGCCACCAAATAATTACATGCCATCACCATCTAGAACGATAGGTTATAGAACTCCTTCGTTATCGGAATCTCATTATCCTGGGGAAATGCCTATCGATTATAGTGACGGTATAAAATATCATTTATTCAGAAGTTTATAATATTTTTAATATCATGTTTATACGTTTTAATATTATTATCATAAGTATTATTAATTTATAGACTATGCAGTAGATATTATGCCTTTAAGAAGAACTGTTAACAACGATTACGCGCCAACACCACCACCACCGCCTCCTGTGTTCAGTATTAAACCTTCATCTCCGTATACGTGGGTGAAACCAGCGGGTGGTAACAATGTGACTAGGATTGTACCATCACGTAAATCTGATATCGATAGAGAAAGAGAAAGAATTAGAGAATATAAAATTATGACACGTCCTTTTATGGTAAGTAATCCAAAACAAAGTATCACACAAATGAATCTAGAAATCAAACGTATATTTATTACATTTATATGTGTCTCCGTCCTACATTTGTAAAATATAGTCAAATATTTATTTTTCAAAGGGTAAAACTGTATCTCCTTCTTACAAGGAAGACTGGTCCTTTGGTACAAAATCACGGTAATTATTTAATATGATTACGAAATTGGTTCTTATTTTGATTAATATATTTATTTGTCACATTTTATTATATCTAGGACTATAATATCTGAAGATTTTATGAATACGAAATATTATGATTCGAGATGTCCAAGAGATGTCGGAATAAAATCGCGTCTTGATTCAATGCCAAGTAAATCAAAAACAATGGATCACTTGTCTCGGCCCAAAACTGGTCCCAGTTCGTCGAGCCAATCTACTGGATACAGAATCGTAGTATCTAACTTACAAGCCAACGTAACACAAGAGGATATAAAAGAATTGTTTGAGGATGTCGGAGAATTACTTATTTCTAGATTAGTACGTCCAGGAACTGCCGAAGTTATTTACAAAACATTAAAAGACGCTACCAAGGCGGTAGAAACTTATCACAATAGACAATTAGATGGTCACCCGATGAAATGTTTGCTCGTTAATCCAAGACCAAAAAATAATCCAACTGGTCCAGCTGTCAGATCAATATCGGAGTAAGTTTATATTTAATTATGATTAGAAAGAAAAAAAAAAACAACCAAGCGAATCACTAAATAATAAGAAAATACATTATTACCAATATATTTTATCTATTTTTTTTTCTTCTCTAGTTCAAGACGAAGCGTTAGTTCAAGTTATGTACAACCAAGTTTAGGAGCCGTTCATCGTGCATTATTCGACGATTCTTAATTGAATGCAACGCATCCTCCTCTTTTCAATTATGTGGAAAAACAAAAATGAATTTTAAATAAATTTCAATGAACGCGGCATAATATTAGTAAAAGAAAAAAACAAAAAAAAAAAAAAAAAGAATCGACTTAAAAAAAAAAAATAGAAAAAAGGGTGGAAGGAAAAGAAAAAAAAAAAATAGAAAAAAAATAGAAATTTAAAATGGATCATGTGTTGATTGGAACTTTCTTATACATTACTGAATCAAAAAAAAACGAAAGAAAAAAAATCATGTATCATACT